GGCTGTATGAGTGTGGGGTTGAGGGGAGTGCCCACAGGAGAGGCTAGAGCACATGAGAGCCAGTGTTCAGTATGCACATGGTATTCCAAGCTGTGGGCTGGATGAGATTGCTCAGGGAGTGAGTCTACCCCGGGAAAAGGTCCCAGGCCTGTGCCCGAAGCCACAGCAGCCTGTCTCATTGGGTGCTTATTATGCTCCAGGTACCCATGTACGTTCTATTAATACTCCTTCCAAGGAGGTGCTATCCCTATGTCTACAAATGAGGTAGCTGAGGTTCAAAGAAATGAAACAATTTCCCCAAGTCACACAGCCTTACTAGGGTCAGAAAGTGCACCCAGGGCTCTGGCTCCCTGGCTCTCACAGCCCCCATGCAGACCGTCACTGGCCTTGATGCACCAGGCAGGAGGCTGGCTGGGATGACCTTGGGCAAGGCCAGATGAACTGCACTGGGGCAGCTTGCCCACCTCTGTGGGCCAAGCCGGGAGTGACTCAGGCCTTGGCTGCGTGCTCATGCTAGGAGAGGAGGTTGGCTGTTTGCCGCCCCTGCCAGGCCTGGATTCCTTTACAGGGGAGGTGGAGAGCCACTCTGATCCTGGCTCCCTGGGACCTGGAGGAGGACAGGTGTGGGGTTTCTGCTTCCCAGGCCCCAGGTCATCCACAACCAGGAGTTCGGGGGAGCCTTTGAGTCAGCTTCCGAGAGGTCTGATAAGCCCCGTGGGTTGTTTGCTTCCTTTTTCAGAAGCCAGTCAGGGGTTATCTCCCTCTGTTTCCCTACCAGTGCTCAGCAGCTGGGGTTCTGAGAGGTAGTATGGTTTCTCCAAGGTCACAGATCCAGCTCTGGAGCAGAGCCAAGAGACCTTGCTACCACGCTGTCTGGGTCATGTTTCCTCTGCCGAAGTGTCCTCTGGGCTATGCCCAGTCTCCTGAACCTGGGGCACACATGGCTGAATTTCTTATGCTCCTTGGCTCATAGCCCTGTGAGCCTTACTTGACATTTTTTGCCTCTTAGGAAGTGGGTTCCTAATTCTGGCCTCTCCACATACCGGCTGTGTGACTTTGGGCAATTTACCTAACCTCTCTGAAGTGGTTCCCACAGCTATGAAATGGAGGCAGCAACACCTGTCTCATGGAGTTGTGGTAAAGATTAAATGTGAAAGCACGTGGCACAAGCTCATAAACCTGTCGCCTACTTGCCTCAGTCCTTTCAGGTATTTTAAACTGCTTTTCATTTGAGCAGTGCTAGTTGCAAAAAGCAGCCTGGCAGGGACAACGCTGACCCTGCTCCCAGGCACACCACAGCCATGGCCTCAGACTCTGCCCTGAGCTTAGCCAGGGGGAGAAAGGGAAAGTGCTCTGAGAATTGGGAACCTCTATAGTCCACCTGGTTCTATAGGCAGCCTGGGAGTCTCAGACCTTATAAAGTCTTGTGGAAATGGTGCTTCTGTAAATCAAAATGTTTCCCATTACTGTTTCTGAGCCACTCTCCTCATCTACAGAACCACCCTTTAATAGAAAAGTCTAGACTTTGCCTTTACTCACTGTGTGTCCTCAGGCAACTCCCTCCTAGACTTGGGTCTCAGGCTCTTCACCTGTAATGTGAGGCGGGGTGTGGGCCCAGGCTGGAGTTGTCAGTCCTTTGCATTTTGTGGTCCCCACAAGGATGCTTTCAATGCTTTGCACCTGGGCCAAATGGAAGCGGCTGCATGAGCTGCTGTGTCTCCAGTTGTCCAGGCCAGCCCAGCCTCCCCCGGGGCCGTGAGGATCGATATTTCCTTCCAGAGGCCTGAAAGAGTTCCAGGGATTGACATCCAGGTGCTGGGGAAAACTCCCCTAGAATTTCCCTACCCCATCCCCCTGCGGGGGCAGCTTGGCCAGTTTACCCACTGCTCCTGGCTCTCTACCAGCCTCCTGGGGCAGTGATAACTCGAATGCCACCTTCTAGGCAGTGTGCTGAGGATTATCTTATTTCATTCCTATTGAAACCCCCTAAGGGGTGCATCGAGATGAGGACATAGGGCCATGGAGAGGATGGGAGACTTGCCTGAGCCCCCACAGCTGGGGAGTGCGGACGGGGACCTGCAGCCCTGTCTGAACCGGTGTGCGCTTCCTATAAGTGGCTTCTGGAGCTTCTCAACACTCAGAGAGGCCCAGAACCCGAGGGAGCTGTCCAGAGGGCTGCTAATGGGGAAAATGTAGGTCTTGCCATCTTCCTTTTTCCTCCCCTGAGCGTGACCCAGGTCATCTTTCTCTGAGGGATTGCCTTTGGCAGAGTGAGAGCCAGGTCCCTCCATCTCTCTCAGTAAATTACCGGAGGGGCAGGGAGATGATTGATGGTTTTACTCCAGAAGGCCTTAACACAAGTCACTGACCCCTGTGTGTGATGACACTAGGGCAGCAGACAGTAGCCCAAGGCATCAGCTTCTGGGGCCTCCTGGCCCTGAGGTCTGTGTTAGAGACTTGAGGGCAGGTCCCCAGAGCCCAGGACAAAGGCAGTGGTCAGGGTGGAGCCCTGCCTCGGAGGGCATTTTGGCTGAGGCGAAGCTGCATACTCTTCTGATGTATGTGGGTTGGTGGGAGATGTGGGTGTGGGGGTGTTGGGGTGTCTAAAGCCAGCTATGGGAAACCATGTCATACTTGGCTACCTTCCTGTGTTCCTTCTCACAGCAAAACTGTCTTGGACTGATCATTTGAGGTGTCTCCTTGTGAAATGACTTTGGCCCCTCTGGGCTCTGACTTGCTCATGTGGGAAGAAATGGGGTAGAGGGAGTTGGATAATAAATCATGCTTCACTCAGTCAACAGAATACTATTCAGACACTAAAAATGATGGCGTAGCCCTACATATTCTGACATGGGAAGATGGCCACAATATCTTATGTGGAAAAAACTAGTTGCATAGAATTTATGGTTTGATTACATTAGTAAAATAAATTCATTTATGGTGATATATGCCAAAAAAAAATAATGCCAGGCACAGTGGCTCATGCCTGTAATCCGAGCACTTTGGGAGGCCGAGGCAGGTGGTTCACTTGAGGCCAGGAGGTTGAGACCAGCGTGGCCAACGTGGTGAAACCCCATCTCCATTAAAAATACAAAAATTAGCCCCAGGTGTGGTGGCGCATGCCTGTAGTCCCAGCTACTTAGGAGGCTGAGGTGGGAGAATTGCTTGAACCTTGAAGGTGGAGGTTGCGGTGAGCCAAGATCGCGCCACTGCACTCCGGCCTGGGCTGGAGCCAGACTCCATCTCAAAAAAAAGAAAAGAAAAAATGAAAAATTGAGATGTAGACACACCAGAGTGTGAGTAGGTTTTCTCAGGGGTTGATGTGCTCACGAAAACATCTTGGCCAGGCGTTGAGGCTCATGCCTGTAATCCCAGCACTTTGGGAGACCAAGGTGGGCAGATCACTTCAGGTCGAGTTTGAGAACATCCTGACCAACATGGCAAAACCCCATCTCTATTAAAAATACACACACACATTTAAAAAAAAAAAAAAAAAAAGGCCGGGTGTGGTGGTGTGCACTTACAGTCCTAGCTACTTGAGAGGCTGAGACAGGAGAATTTCTTGAACCTGGGAGGCAGAGGTTGCAGTGAACCAAGATTGCACCACTGCAGTCCAGCCTGGGCGACAAAGGGAGACTAAAAAAAAAAAAAAAAGAACATTTCTATATCAGCTGTTAAGATTGTGACTCCAAGTTCTAGAAAAGTGAAGACAAGTTTGCACTTGTTTCATCAAACTCAAGAATATTATTTGATGGAATGGTCTCTTAAAATCTGCCACTTTTCTACAATTAATGAAATTACTGTAAGGCTTGGAGCAGGCATGAAAAAGTCAGAGTTGGTGTTTTTAGGCACACTCTCTTCCCAGTGGTCTGTGCTAACAGAAATGCAACCTTGGCAGTGGTTTACATGCGTAGGTTTGAGTGGGCCAGGCAGTTTTCTGTGGCAGATTTAGGTCGCTCATTGTGCTTGATATTCAGTTCCACCCATACATGTTGTCAGGACACTGTGCTGACCCTGGGGGCTGAGGGACACACATTGGCTGGGGCAGGGGAACTGGGCGTGGTGGGGATAACAGAATTTATGATGTATATGGTTTCTCAAGACAACTTTGAGAAAAAACTTCTGGGATTTTAAAAAATATTTAGGGACACCGAGTGTTCCACAAGAACAAACGTGTCTGTGATATAAATAAAACATGTCGGCCTGACATTGGGGTGAGGATAATGAATTCCAGGAGCTGACAATGGCCTTGCATCTCTCTGTTGGGCTGGTGCTTCTCAGGGGAGCGGACTGAGTTTTAGGACCTGACATGAGTTTACCAAGAGTGGGAACTGGGCCTCCCCATCAGCCCGAGGCTCTGCAAGGATGGAACCCTGTTTCCTCTCTCAGGCCAGAAGCTCCCGGTGACACTGGAGGGTCCTGTTTCTCATCACTGCTGTCCCTGGAGTTTGGTGGAGCTCTGCACAAGATGCCTGCCCTGGTGGTGGGACCACGACGTTGGGGCAGTGATGTGAGAAGATGAGAACAGGGACTAGAGATCAGAGAGGCAGGACATCTTTAAGAGCCCCTCCTGCCTCAGTCAGCTCTTCAGGGGTCCTTGGCAGTATGTGTAATGGTAGAGACCAGTGGCTTGGGGGCCATATGTCCCAGATTCAAATCCTGACTCCTCCACTAACTCAGCATCTATACCTCACTTTTTCCATCTGCAGCATGGGGATACTAGTACCTACCTAACAGTACTGTCATGAGTTGGCCCCCATAGAACGCTTAGGATGGTACCTGGGTCAGAGGAAGCTCTTGCAGTTCTTTACTAGCTGTCCTGTGCTAGTAAAGAACTGCAGGGATTTCATTATTGAAGCTGGGGAGAAAGCAGGAGGAAGAAGCAAGTCTCCCTTGAGCATGGTAGGGGTCGCGCCTCCCTGCCCTCATTTCTTAATAGCCCTTGGCCTGAGCTCATGTTTTGCTAGTCTCGGCCCTGACTCCATCTCCCTCGGTTTCAGGTGGGACCATCCGTGAAGCTGGTGCCAGGATGCCCCGGGGGTGTGGATGACCGGCCGCCCAGCCCCAGCACGGCCCGGTCCCGCATGCCACCGCCCCGCGAGGACCACTCTCCGAGGGCCGCCTGGGGCCCCGCGCGCCCGTAGTCTCCTAACCCGGAGCCCTCGGCAGCCCATTCCTGCCTGGCCACCCGGGGCGGAGGAGGCGCTGGAGTGAGCCGCCCGAGGCCGCAGAGCAAGCAAGTGGCTGACCGCGGAAAGACCCCAGGGAAGGGGCTTTGCGGCCGGCTAGAAACATTTTCTCCAAGAGGCTCCGCAAAATGACCAGCCTGTTCCGCCGGAGCAGCAGCGGCAGCGGCGGGGGTGGCACAGCCGGGGCGCGCGGGGGCGGGGGAGGCGCGGCCTCCCCCCAGGAGCTCAACAACAGCCGGCCGGCCCGCCAGGTGCGCCGCCTGGAGTTCAACCAGGCCATGGATGACTTCAAGACCATGTTCCCCAACATGGATTACGACATCATCGAATGCGTGCTGCGCGCCAACAGCGGTGCTGTGGACGCCACCATCGACCAGCTGCTGCAGATGAACCTGGAGGGCGGTGGCGGCGGCGGCGGCGGCGGCGGTGTCTATGAGGACAGCTCCGACTCGGAGGACAGCATCCCTCCAGAGGTAGGGGCGTGGCCCAGGTAATTCCAACCACCGTTGGAACCTCTAAGAAAACCTGGGTTACTCCGCTGTCTGGGTTCTAATTAGCAAGCAGCCTTACTTCCCCTAGGGAAAAGTACCATCCGTCAGTGACCTTATTTTATGGGCAGAAATCATGCAGTCATTCAAAAACACTGAGCACCCACTCAGTGGTGTGTGAGACGTGGCAGTAGACCCTGAGTCAGGAGGCATCACAATCAAGGTGCTTGTTACAAATGCAGGTGCCTGGGCCCCACCCCAACATACTGAACTCCACTTCCAGGCCTAGAGTCCGCTAGTGGCCACGTTAGACCAGGTTTCTGCCCTCCTGGAGCTCAGAGTCCAGTGTGGACTAGAAGCGCGAGTCCCATACTGACGGCCAGAGTGGTAAGTGCTCGATGGAGACGTGGAAGCAGCAGAAAGGGGTGGCTTCCCAGAGGAAGAGATGGCTAAGCCCAAACCCTGAGCGGAGACCCAAAGGAAGAGTGAAGCCGGGGGAAGGGTGTGTAGGCAAAGGGAACAGCTTGTGCAGAGGCTGGGAGGTGAAATAGTGTCTGACTGACTAGGGAACTGGCAGCAGGACCATCTGTCAGGGTCCTAGAGTGAGGACCCTATCAGTGAGGTTGACAAAGCCCTGACGCTGAGAAAAAAGAGTGTGGCTGTATCCTGGGAGCATAGCCATGGAAAGGTAGTGAGGAATCAGACTTGCCAGTTAAATCCCTCTGACTGTGGCCTGATGGAAGCAGTAGTGAGCCATAGCCAAGCAGTCTCTCCAGGGAGGTGACTGGAGAGAGGGGACCTGCGTACTGCATCAGTACCCATCTGCTGGAGGTTGTGAGTCCCACCCGAGTTCAGTGGACATCTGGCCTGCTAGTATCAGCAGAGCCTGAGGTGCTTGGTGCAGAAGGGTGAGGCACACAGAGCCTGTTAATCAGAGGGGTGCTGTCCACAGGGCCATCTGGGACTTGCAGCCATGGACAAGACCAGGACCCAGCAGGTGGAATTTAACTCCACTCTTTATTGAGTCCCGACCCATGCCAGGCATCATCCTAAGTGCTTTAGATGTATCATCTCTACTTTTTTTTTTTTGGGTGGCGGGGGACAGAGTTTTCCTCTGTCACCCAGGCTGGAGTACAATGGTGCGATCTCAGCTCACTGCAACCTCCATCTCCCAGGTTCAAGCGATTCTCCTGCCTCAGCCTCCCGAGTAGCTGGGACTACAGGCATATGCCACCACACTCGGCTAATTTTGTAGTTTTAGTAGAGACAGGGTTTCACCATGTTGGCCAGGCTGGTCTTGAACTCCTGACCTCAGATGATCTGCCTGCCTCGGCCTCCCAACGTGTTGGGATTACAGGCATGAGCTGCCGCACCCGTCCCGATGTGTCGTCTCTTCTAATCCTCACAAACTTTGTGCTGTGGCGTTATTATTACCCTTGTCCCTGTTCTCCATCAGTCATCCTGCAAGGCGAAGTCTCCTTGCTTTTCCTCCTTAGTGTGTGCTGCTGAGACTTCTCCTGGGGGTGGAGAAGCTCTGTTGGCAAAGACATCTGGCATACCTGTGTCATCTGCAGCACCCAGGACGATCCAGGCACATAGCAAGCACTTGGGGAGTGTTTGTTGAATGAATAAACGCTGCTGCTGTCTTTGTACAGTTTTCCATTGTCTCTCTCCTTGGGAGACCACTCCTTCCATCTACTTGGAGTAGGTGGTGGAAGGAGTATGGGAAAATATGGATCCTCTTTGTAGAAAGAAGGAGAGAGAGAGTGAGAGTGTGCGTGTGTATGTGTGTGTCTGCAGATACAATTGACCATTGAACAATGCAGCTGTTAGGGGCAGTGAATCCCCCCATGCAGTCAAAAATTCACTTTTTAATATAACTTTTGATTTCCCCAGAAATTGACTACTAATAGCCTATTGTTGACCTCAAGTCTTACTGGGTTTTTTTGTGTGTTTTTTTTTGTTTTTTGAGACGGAGTCTCGCTCTGCCGCCCAGGCTGGAGTGCAGTGGCCGGATCTCAGCTCACTGCAAGCTCCGCCTCCCGGGTTTACGACATTCTCCTGCCTCAGCCTCCTGAGTAGCTGGGACTACAGGCGCCCGCCACCGCGCCCAGCTAGTTTTTTGTATTTTTTAGTAGAGACGGGGTTTCACCGTGTTAGCCAGGATGGTCTCGATCTCCTGACCTCGTGATCCGCCCGTCTCGGCCTCCCAAAGTGCTGGGATTACAGGCTTGAGCCACCGCGCCCGGCCAAGTCTTACTGTTAACAGAAACAGTTGATTAACATATATTTTGTATGTCATATGTATCATATATTGTATTCCTACAATAAAGTAAGCTAGAGAAAAGAAAATGTTAAGAAAATCATAAGCAAGACAAAATATATTTTCTATTCATTAAGTAGAAGTAGATCATCGTAAAGGGCTTCATCCTCATCGTCTCACATTGAGTGGGCTGAGGAGGAGTGAGAGGAGAGGAGGGGTTGGTCCTGCTGTCTCAGGGGTGGTGGAGGTGGAAGAAAATCTACCTGTAAGTGCACCCATGCAGTTCAAACTCATGTTATTCGAGAATCAACTGTATACGCTTTAAGTGTGAACTGGAAAGAAAGCTCTCTGCAAGCTCTGACCCTTTCTGCAGTCTGATTTGCCCTGACAGTCTGGCAGGTAGGGTAGTATTTCCTCCTTTGTCCAAGGCCCCCACAGCCCTATAAACCTCTGCAAGGCTTCACCACCCCCTAAGTAGGCCCTTGCTGTATGTGCACTTCTGTTTTTCTAAGAATCTTGCTTTCCAAATTGAGCCCCCTCCCCTCCCTTGGCAGTCTCCCCAACCCCCCACCTTTGGAACTCTGCCTGGGCCCATAGGCAGGCAGCTCCTGAGCCAGCGGAAAGTGCTTCGGAAAATTTATGAGCCACAGCTGGAATGACAATAACTGCTGAATGGAAAAAAAAACCTTTCTGGGGGCTGATGGATGGTGGGCTGGCCCGAGGGGTATCCTTGCCATGGAGAAATATCTCCTGTCAGATAAATGGCCTACACCCTGCCCCCCTGGAGCACCTGGCAGGCATCCATCACCCACAATGAGTTAAGCCAGAAGGCTGAAAAGCCCAAAATTTCAGCACCTTTAGAGCCAGAAGAACAACCTCTTTGTGGCTGGTGGCAGTGGGAGGGAGAGGCCAGGGGAGACCAGCAGCGCTGCTGGGGTTACTCTCCTTGAGACTCAGGCCCTGCATTCTGGAGCTTGCCTGGCCGGCCGTCTGCCTTCTCTGTGTTTCCCAAGTCCTCTCCAGGAGGCTCTGATGAACGTCTGTCTGGTCTTGCTGCCCTGGGAGGCTGCACGGAGGAGCTATGTGGGGCGGCCTCCTGGTGTGGCCGGGGAGGCCTGATTGCCCTGAGTCTGGGGGGCTGACTGCCGCTGGCCACGGTCAGAGGAAACCCCAAGCAGCTTCCTTTAGGGGACAGTTTCTACTGAGCTCTCCTCCCCTCCTCAGCCACCTCACTCCGACCCACATCAGTGGGAACAGCCCAGGCCAGCCACCCAGACCCAGCACTGCTAGCCTCAAGGCCGCAGCCCAGAGCCCTATGCCTCAGAGCAGAGGGGTCTGGGAAACAGGGTGTCGGGGCTGGGGGACAGCAGCAGCAAGTTCTCTGAATGAGCCAGGTACTTGCAGGGCCACTGTCCTGTGCCAGGCACCAAAGATTCGCCAGGGAACAGGAGCAATGCTTACAGTGTTCTCTTTTTTCCTTTCTTGTGGAAATTTAGGGTAAGCAGAGCAGTGGCCTGCCAAGTGCTACATTCTTCCTTTCCTGCAAAAGCATCTGTTTAAATACTTTCGGCCTCAAAGAAAAGAACGTCAGTGCATTCCAGGGCGCGAGGCCTCCTTGGGTTGAGCTAGCTGTGTATACGCAGAGGACTGCAGAGAGCACGTGTGCATATGTGTGCATGTGCGTGTGTGTGTGGGTATGTGTGTGTAGGTGTGCTCACACGCACAGGCTCACCTCCCTACCCACCAGGTGCCCCTGGGAGGCTGTGTGTGCTGGGCATGGCTGGTCTCAGAGCAGAGATGTACCAGTGCAGCCTGGCCCAGCCCAGGCTTATACAGGCAGCATGATTATGGTGACTTCTGCAAACTCACTTGAGGTCTGGGGGCTCTGGGGCACCTGAGAGTCACAGCCTCTCTGAGCTCCTCCCATGTTCTTTGATCTTGGAGGAGATGGGAACAGAGTTGTGGGGAGTGAACGGGAGGTGAAGGTGTAGGCCAGGTTGGGCTGTGTGGTGAAGGATCTCCCAGTCAGGGGCCGCCTCCTGTGGTGGATTACTTGAGGTCAGGAGTTCAAGACCAGCCTGGTCAACATGGTGAAACCCCGCCTCTACTGAAAATACAAAGATTAGCCAGGGGTGATGGTGCACGCCTGTAATTCCATCTACTTGGGAGGCTGAGGCAGGAGAACATATACTTTGATGTCTGTGGAGTGTACCAGAACTGGAGGGTCAGAGGTAGCCATGTGTTTAGCTGCCCCAAACTCCTCTCTGGGCCTCTGGGGAAGAATCTAGGTTGGTCAGTGGAGCAGGACCCCAGACTTTGCCCAGTCCTTGGCCTCTCCCTGGCCCTCTTCTTGGCTCCTGGAGAATACAAGGGCTTGGGAAGGAGAGCAGGCATCCCGGGCACTCCCCTTGCTACTCTCCACCCTGAGAGTCCAACCTGAGTGTGCAGCCAGTGTGCCTGAGGGAGGGATCCTTGTGGTCCAAGTTGAAGACTCTGTTCTAAAAAGCATGTGGCTTTTGCCATGTCACTTAGCCTAGGCCTGAGTTTCCTTCTGTGTCAAATGGGGTAATGAGCCATATCCTACAGTACCAGGTTGTTCGAGGTTAAGGTGACATCAGAGACGTGGAGGTACTTTGAGAGAGGGTATGAATGATGTTATCATCAAAGAATAGCGTGGGTACAGGAGCACATGAGTCACACGTGTGCAGCTCAGTGGAGTTTCACAGCGTGAATAAAACACATTATCAGCACCAGCTCAAGAGCCATCATCCCCAGAACCTGGAGTGCCCCTGGTGTCCATTCCCACCCTTACCCGCCCCACAGAGGGCACATCGCCCTGACCCTTACCACTGTGTGTTTGTTTCTGCCTGTGTTTGAACTGCACATGGAGGGAGAATGCTGCTGTGAACATTCTTTTGGGGACGTATACTTTGATGTCTGTGGAGTGCGCCAGAACTGGAGGGTCAGAGGTAGCTATGTTTAGCTTTTTCAAAAAGGCAGTTTCCTAAAGTGGTGATTGTATCGATTTACACTCCCACTAGCAACACACAGAGTTCCTTTATTATACCTGCCCTCCCACACTTGATTTTGTCTAAATGGTATTTAAATTCAAGGAGGGATGATTAATATTTCTTTCTCTGTTGCCTCTGATTTAGATCTTGGAAAGGACTTTGGAACCCGATAGCTCGGATGAAGAGCCACCGCCTGTGTACTCCCCGCCAGCCTACCACTTGCACGTGTTTGACCGGCCCTACCCTCTGGCTCCCCCGACTCCGCCTCCCCGGTGAGAATCTGTCATGTCTCAAAGCACAGGGTGGTAGGGAAGAGGATCAGTGGCTGGGGCTGTGTACAAACAACAGGAAACTTGGCTGGACCCCTCAGTATATTCTCCAAGAACAGGCTTCTACTGCAGCAAGAGACGTTTTAGCTAGATACCAAGGAGAACTTGCAAAAGGTAAGGATTGCAAGAGCAAACATTTCCTAAATTCCTACTGTAGGCTAGGCGGTGTGTCTCGTACCATATGGGACACAGAGTTAAGTAAAGCTCAGCCTCTGCTTTCTGGGAGCTTATAGTCAAGGGAGATGCCAGAGTAGGAATGACAAACAGGGAATGTGTACTGACACTTCCCCTCCCAAGCCCACAGCAAACATGACTGATTCATCACTGTGCTCTTTCCTGCTGAGTCAAGACAGAGCCTCAGATCCTCCTCAACACAGAACACAGCCTTCCCAGCCAGTCATCAGTAATTGATGGAATGGCTAGCTGCCATCCTTGGGCTAGGGATGTTGTGGGGATTTTTAAGCAGTGAGAGCAAGTCTCTTTCATTAAGGTAGTTTGATAACTGGCCGGGCGCGGTGGCTCACGCCTGTAATCCCAGCACTTTGGGAGGCCGAGGCGGGTGGATCACGAGGTCGGGAGATCGAGACCATCCTGGCTAACACGGTGAAACCCCGTCTCTACTAAAAATACAAAAAATTAGCCGGGCGAGGTGGCGGGCGCCTGTAGTCCCAGCTACTCGGAGGCTGAGGCAGGAGAATGGCGTGAACCCGGGAGGCGGAGCTTGCTGTGAGCCGAGATCGCGCCACTGCACTCCAGCCTGGGCGACAAAGAGAGACTCCGTCTCAAAAAAAAAAAAAAAAAGATAGTTTGATAACTGGAGGCAGGGAGGTAGACTGCAAGGTCCCTGGAAACTTCTTCCAGGTTAGAGACTCTGTAATTTGGAAGCTTAAAATGAAGCTAGGCTGGGCACAGTGGCTTACGTCTGTAATCCCAGCACTTTGGGAAGCCAAGATGGGTGGATCACTTGAGGTCAGGAGTTCAAGACCAGCCTGGGCAACATGGTGAAACCCCATCTCTACTAAAAATGCAAAGATTAGCCGGGGGTGGTGGCGCACGCCTGTAATTCCAGCTACTTGGGAGGCTGAGGCAGGAGAACCGCGGGTCTCTGGGGTGCTTGTTTTTCTGGGCTCCACGTTTGTGCTGGGGCTGCTGGAGCTAGGGTGTGGCCTCTTTGCCCTAGAGCTGCTGTTTCTTAGAATGGCTCAGGCCTGGAGTGGTGAGGGGGTGCGGAGATGATGGGACAGGGCACCTGCCGCAGTTGGATCTTCCCTTCTCCCCAGAACAGCCCTAGAGCAGTGGTGAACTGTGTTATCACACAAGTATAGCTAGCATTGACTAAGCACCCTTCCAATGCCAGAAGCAGAGCAGGTTCTTTACCTACACCATTACATTTAACGCAGAGGCGGGCACTGTTGTCATCACCCCTATTTATGGATGAGGAAACTGAGCCTTGAGAGATGCCATAACTTCCCCAAGACTAAGAGCTGGAGTTTGAATCCAGGTCATTCTGACTTAAAGCTAATCACTCTTCACTGCTGTGTCCTGTCACCTCCCGAATGAGAAAAATCTCTGTGATTGCAGCTTAGGGAGCTCATAGAGTCAGTCCTAGAAAGTTCCTGAGGGAGGAGGGAGGGAAGTGTTTTGAGTCAGGGACAGGAACAGAGCTGGGATCTTTATCACGAATGGTACCAGGAGCTGGCAGGCTGTACTGGAGTGGGAGGTGGGGAGTGAGTGAGTGGGTCTGGGTGAGACATAGGCAGGACTTGCAGCCTGGGATGGATCACAGAGCCCCGGGCTAAATGATTTTCCTTTCTTTGACTTTTTGTTTTTTTGAGTCGGTGTCTCACTCTATCATCCAGGCTGGAGTGCACTGGTATGATCTCTGCTCACTGCAACCTCCGCCTCCTAGGTTCAAGTGATTCTCCTGCCTCAACCTCCCGAGTAGCTGTGATTACAGATGTGTACCACCATGCCTGGCTAACTTTTGTATTTTTAGTAGACGGGGTTTCACCATGTTGCCAGGCTGGTCTCGAACTCCTGATCTCAGGTGATTCGCCCATCTTGGCCTCCCAAAGTGCTAGGATTACAGATGTAAGCCACCGGACCTGCCCCGACCCCCACCTTTTTTTTTTTTTTTTTTTTAATATTCCAAGATACTTTTGCAAAAAGTTCAGTTTCTGCTAGGCAGAGTGGTTCCACCTATTTTTCAGAAGGGAAAACTGAGGCCATAAGAGAAAGGAGTTTTTTTCTTTAAATAGAAACAGAGTCTCACTATGTTGCCCATGGTGAATTTGAACTCCTGGCCTCTAGCAGTCCTCCTGCCTCAGCCTCCCGAATAGCTGGGATTACAGGGCATACCATCATGCTTGGCTGAAAATCCCAGTATAAATGTGGTATGGATATCCATGCCACATCCTCCCTCGCTACTCTGGCTGGGTGTTCAGCCTGCTGTGGGGGCGGGGGGCAGGGTGGTGCAGTTCAGTGATGGGAGTCCCACTTGGGGGCAAGGTAACCTCAGCACTAGACCAAGGCTCAGGAGACCCTGTGGGCTTTCGACAAGTTACTGCTCTTGCTTGAGGTTCTGGAGCCTGACTCAGGAAATGAAGGCTTTGCTGGGTTGGGAGTGGATGTACTGAGGAGAACTTGACTAGTGGAGTCAGACAGAAGCAGTCTGTTTTCCCCACCCCTTCCTTCACCTGCCTAGCTTAGAATTCTCCAGGCACCTTTGCAATGTGGCCTTTGGCTCATTGCTTGACCTCTCTGAGCTTTGTCTGCCTCCCCTGAAATGGGAATAGTAATTTCCACATTAGCACTGAGGAGGATTGAATGAGATGTGTGTGGAGCACTTAGCACAGTCCCAGTTATAGACCAGATCTATAATCAGTGGTTTACTGCTCCCTCCTGTCCCCCAGCTACACTGGCTGGCCTCTGAGTTTAGCTCTAACATTGAACATTGAGACCAGAGGCGAGGCTTCCCCCAGAGGCCAGTGTTCAGTAGAGGCACGGGTCCCTTTGCCCCAGGATGGCTCTGCTAGACCTGGGCCTCTAGGCCATCTCCAGTGCCTTGTCTAGTCCCTCTATCCAAGACATTCATTTCCAGCATTGACTGAATTGCCTGCTGTGTATGCAGGTGCTGAGCCATGTGTGTGATGAGGTGGTGAGCACAGCACTCCTGAACCATGTGTGTGAACCATGTGCTGAGCCATGTGTGTGATGTGGAGGTGAATACGGTGCTGCCTGTTTCCCCACACACTGCCAAGGAGATCAGGGTCTAGGGAAGCCCAAGACACAGGGGCAGGGAAGGCTGCCAGGAGAAACTGATATCCAGGCTGTGACCTGGAGGTCACATTGGCAGTAATGTGGAGAAGCAGAGGACAGGGAGGCGCTCAGGCAAAGGAAGGAGCACGTGCAGAGGCCTGGAGGCAGGAAAGAGGGCCCATCTGGGGACCTCCTGGAAGTATCTACCGGTGGGTAAGGCTGGAGAGGTAAGCAGATCAAGGGCCCTGTGGCCTTCCAGGGAGCTTCCATCTTTTCTTGCAGCCAGCCAGGGAGCCATTCAAGGGCCTTAACCTGGAGAGCGACACAATCAGGTTCATGTTTTAGGACTCTTCCTCTGGCTGCTGAGGGAGATTAAATTTGAGTGGGCGAATGGCCTGGCCCCCTTCTGCTACCTCCAGTCACTGGGGTGCCGAGAACCTGCAGATGGGGCAGAGTTTGGGAGCGTGGGCATTGGCCTGCTAGGGCAAAAGAGGCAGGGCCACCCCGGGGAGCATGCTTCAAATGTCATGATCCCTGGGCCCAGGTTTTGCCTGGATGATGTGTGTGTCCTGGGACATGGCTTGAACCACCTCTGGACTTCAATGTCCAGTTTTTACCAAAAATTTTACCTGGAAGGCCTGTCTCTGAAATCCCTTTGTATCAGGTCTGATGTTCCATGGGTAAACCTGAGGGTCTGATGGGGCTTGAAGTTGTAGTTTTGGGGTCCAGAGTCAGAGACTCTGGGCTGGGAAATCCTCCCGCCTCTCTCCTTCCCCTCCCCCAGCCTGTCCTTCTCTCCATCTGTCTGAAAGAAAGACAGTCTCTGAAACCCAGGGGACCCATCCACACAGGCCGCCTGCTGTTTTTCCGTTAAAATTACAGCCTTGGAAGTTTTTTTTTTATTTGCGTCTCAGCTCATTTCTGACATTCCTTTCCGACCACAATGGAGTTGCCTGGGCTGCCTGTGCTCAGGGCCCCCTGGCTCACCCAGCTGTGGGCTGACCTCATCTCTACCAGTGCCAGGCAAGGGGCCGGGAGGGGGCTGGACCTGGCCTTCCTTCAGGACCACAGGCCCAGCAGCAAGGAAACTCAGCTGAGAACAGGGGCCTCCTCCACCTTGTCCCCTTCTGCACTTGGAGTCCTCATGGCTAGAGGAATCCAGATGCACCTCTGAGGTTCTCCCTCCGCTGCTTTCCTGGGTGGCTCCGAGGTGTGGTTAAGTTGGGGGTGGGCACCCGTGTCCCAGATGAAGACCCTGAGACCCCAAGAACGGGTAATACCCCTGGCAAGGGTCCCTCCCTGCTGTAGCCTGGGGTGGTCTGCGAGTCCCTGAGAGATGGGCTTCCTCTCTCCCCATCTCTGGCCTTTGGAGAAAAATGAAGCCTCCAACAGTGGCAGAAGGTGGCAGTGATGTAGAAAAAATTTGGCCTAGGAATGGGAGTCCCGGGTTGTGATGCAAGCTCCTCTCCAGACCATTCCCTCTCCCCTTGTGTCTGTGCAGCCAGAGGGTGGACGAGGCGTGCTGGGGTTCCCTTGGCTCCAGTCTGCAAGAGTTGAGCTCCCACCAGGCACTTAGCAGCTGGTTATCCCGTCTGCTGCCGCCCCCGCCCCTTCCCCTCGCCCCCGCCGCCGGCCACCCGCCCAAAATAGAAAAGGAAAGGAAGTTATTTCCATAGTCAGCTGCAGCCCGGAAAAGCTCCCCTCCAGTGAGGGGGCGGGCGGGATTCCTAGAGCTAGAGACCAAATCAAAGCCAGGCCCGAGAGAGTGAGAGCGGCCCCCACCGCCCGGCCCTCGGCTGCCTTCTCAGTGTGCCGTTTCCCTGACTCAGCGGAACACGTGTCCTGCGGTTGCCACGCTGCAGGCTGCCATGGAGCTGTGGGGAGCTCCTGGCTGGGCTCCGAGCTGCCCTCAGGCCCAGGGCGGTAGGGCGGGAGCCTGGGGGTCAGGGAGGGTGTGTGTGCCACCCCCTCTTCCTCTACTGCCTTGCCCAGCTGTTGGCTCTGCCATGGCACAGAGCTCCTGCCACACACACAACAGGCCTGGAAAGAGTGGTCCCAGAGCACCCTGAGAGCAAGATCCCTTCCACACTCACCTCTCCACACACCTTTTCAGAACATTGCTCGGGACACGGCCTCCTGAGGGGCTCCCCAGCACCTGGGCAGGGAGGCAGCAGTTTCTAGCTAAGGAAACCGAGCTGGAGAGGGGAACAGGGGCCCACCTAAGACTACCCCGCCGGCTGGTGGTTGAGCCAGAACTGGAGCTCGAATCTGCTTTACCCTCTGTACGGATCCTGGCGTCCCCATATGCCCCCTCTTCAGCAAACCAACATGCAGCAGGCTGTGCTGTTGGTGGCTTATGTGTCTGTTCCTTTGGACCATACCTGCCACTCAGCACCGTGAGCCTGGCACTGTGTAGGTGCTAGAAGCATGAAAGGATACAATCCCTGCTGTCTTTAGGGCACATTTGTAAACATCTATAGCTAAATCCACAGAGTTCCACGTGTGCACCATGGACAGACAGCGCTGAAGGTCTAGAGACCTGGGCGGGCATGTGACTGGACAGCATGAATGGCTGGGGAGTTCGCTGAGGCCGGTGGAGACATCTCCAGTGATGACACAAAGTGACGGGCCTTTGTTCTGGGGGCAGTGGAGGCCATGGGAATCTCTGAGCAGGATCTGACCTGCCTGAGGACCTGGTGTGATGGGGCCAGGAGACCTGGGGTTGGGCTTAATGACTCCCTCTTCCCTGTCACCACCCATCCCCTAGTATTGATGTGCTGGGCTCTGCAGCCCCTACAAGCCAGAGACGCTATCGGAACTGGAACCCACCACTACTGGGCAACCTCCCGGATGACTTTCTCCGCATCCTGCCCCAGCAGCTGGACAGCATACAGGTAACGGGCCGCCCCCGCCTTCCACTCCCACCTGCCTGTCCAGCATCTCTCTTTGCCCACACAATTTGTGCCAGCCAGTTTTACTTCCTGATGTTTAAACCCAGGCTGAGCTATTTCTGTTGCCCTGGGTTAGCAGGGAAGGAATGCTGAACTGAAAGCCTCACTTCCTGCCTGGGTCTGGAGGTTTCCTGTTCTATCCAGGGAAGGTGACAGCCTAAGGAAGCTGTCTGCTGCAGCAGTCACCTCAGGCTGGAGAGAGGTGGGCATGGGGTGGCCAATGGTGGAGGGCCAGAGCACCCCCCTTCCTCCCTTGGGAAAGGGCCAGAGGCAGCTTCTTGATAGATGTTGGCATGCCCCAAGGTGCCCCACAGCGGGGCAGGTCCACCCTGAGGCTGCTGGTGCCGGGAGAGGGTTGAGTTTGGGAATCCACGTATAGGCTGTTCCACAGTTTGCAGATTTCTTTTCAGGACTGTTCAGGTTGTAGAGGAAGGTATGAGGTGGTCCGTGGCGTGGAGGAAAAATAGTTTTTAAGCTACTGCTGTGTCCCCTGCAGTGAGGGCTCTGACCTGTCCGTTGGATTTTGGCTCGCCACCAGGTTCCATTAGGAGGTGTGAGCCTCAGGTGAGGGCTAGAGGATGTTGGACAGGGCGTGTGTGCAACCAGAGGGATGTGGATGTTTGTGCAACATGTATCCTTGTGTGTACACGTTCAACATGCTCGCCCCCCTCCTCAGGGTAATGCTGGGGGCCCCAAGCCTGGGAGTGGAGAGGGAGGTCCGCCTGCCATGACTGGGCCAGGGCCCCGAGACCAGGAGAGCCGCTGGAAGCAGTACCTGGAGGATGAGAGGATCGCGCTTTTCCTACAGAACGAGGAGTTCATGAAGGAGCTGCAACGAAACCGCGACTTCCTCCTTGCCCTGGAGAGAGGTGGGCAGTGCCTGCAGCCACTTCTCCCTGGCTGAAGAAGGGAGGTGATGCTGGCTTTAGCCTTGGGGCTCAGAAAAGCACTGAGCTCGGGGCTGAGGGGCCAGGTGCTTTCTGTCCTACTGAGCCTTGACTCCCACCAAGTTACCGCATGGGAGCCTCAGAATTTTGCCTATGGGGACCTGGGTCACTAACCCACCCCTTTCTCCCTCGGGACTCAGAGGAAGAAGGGTGTGCACTCTTAGGCCTTCTTCCCTTTGCACACCTGCTCTGTGCCAGGAACTGGCCTTGGCACAGGGCAGCAGGGAGAAGAGCACTGCCCCTCCTCACAGAGCCCCAGCCCCAAGGCAGGCGTGATGTGTCTGGAGCTCCGGGAACAGAATGACTGGGTTCGTGAACGCCAGGGTTGGGGAGGCTCTTGAGTGGAAGACCTTAGAGCAGGGGCTCTGGAACTTTGCAGGTATTTGGGTTGTCTCTGGGTTGGAGACCCTGCTCCCCAGCCTGGCTACCTTTTCCCTGCAGGGTAGGAGTACGTTTGGGATAGAGGAAATGAGAGGACAGTGGAGCTCTGTCCCTGTGATGGCCACAGCGTGAGAGCTTGTGTGTGTAACTGATGGTGTGTTGGTGGGGGAGGAGCAAGTTGTCAGGGAGAAGGCTGGGCTGAGGCCCAAGGTTAGCCCCAGCTCTGCAGCAAAGGTGCTGGAAGGCTTAAGGCCTTTCCGTTTATTTTTTATTTATTTATTTTTTTGAGACAGTCTCCCTCTTGTCGCCCAGGTTGAAATGCAGTGGCTCAATCTCGGCTCACTGCAACCTCCGCCTCCCAGGTTCAAGTGTTTCTCCTGCCTCAGCCTTTCAAGTAGGTGGGATTATAGGCACACACCACTGCACCTGGCTGATTTTTGTATTTTTGGTAGAGATGGGGTTTCACCACGTTGGCCAGGCTGGTCTCAAACTCCTGACCTCAGGGGGTCTGCCCGCCTTAGCCTCCCAAAGTGCTAGAATTACAGGCATGAGCCACCGCCCCTGGCCGAGCCTTTCCTTTTAAATGAGGGAGTTTGGACTCTACAATCTCTCTGAGTCTTTTAATTCTGACATTTGAGATGGCTGTCAGGCAGTAGTTTCTCTTACTGCTGGTTCTTTGAGAGATGGTAGATGTTGTGTGCACTCATATTTTGGGTGCCCGTGTGTCCTCATGTGCGATTCTGGGGACTTAGCCTCTAGCAAACTACCGTGTCCCAGCCCAGCCTGCCCCTGGGAGCCCAGGAGCTAACCTCCCTGACCTATGAATGTGGTCCTTTTCCAGATCGATTGAAATACGAATCCCAGAAATCTAAATCCAGCAGCGTGGCTGTCGGAAACGACTTTGGCTTTCCGTCTCCTGTCCCAGGTAACTTTGCCTTCTGGGGAAGAAAACCTAGAGGCATGGGGGGGCTCATACCCAACTTTGCTTTGCATATTTGGAGTTTGGGAGTAGGGGGAAAAAACAGATTGTGGAAGGGGGCGTGGGCCTCCTCAGCAGGCTGTTGGGGCCGCTTCTCCCCCCACCTCCATATCCACTCCATTTAGCTGCTCTGGGGTCTTTCCAATCCATCCACTGCTGGGCTTCTGAGCCCCCATTTGTGATCAAATAACATAGGCTGGCTGAACTCTCAACCTATGCCTTGAGTATAGGCTAGTCAAGGACACATGGCCAGGTGCAGTGGCTCACACCTGTAACCCCAACACTTTGAGAGGCCGAGGCAGGTGGATTGCTTGAGCCCAGGAGTTCAAGACCAGCTTGGGCAACAAAGTAAGTCCCCCTGTCTCTACCAAAAAAGTACCAAAAATTAGCTAGGCATATTGGCATGTGCTTGTAGTCCCAGCTACTCAGGAGGCTGAGGTGGGAGGATCACTTGAGCCCAGGAGGTTGAGGCTGCAGTGAGCTGTGATTATGCCACTGCACTCCAGCTTGGGTGACAGAGTGAGACCCTATCTCCAAAAAAAAAGAAAAGAAAAGAAAAGAAAGAAAGAAAAGAAAAGGACTCCAAAATGCCTTATGGTAGGACTCAGAGACTGATAACTCTTGGTCTGTGTCCTGAGGAAGTTTATGGTCTTGTAAGGAGAAATGCCCAGAAAACAGGTAGAACGAACTAGCAAAGCTGAGGACTTATTGATTTTAGCAAATGCATGGAAAAAAAGGAGGGCAGGATTAATCTGGGGAGTTGACTCATTCATTCATGACGTAGCTGGAGAATATCTCCCATCTGTTGGGCCCTGCCCTAGGTGTTGGAGGAAGAGGAATTTCTAGCTTTGTGTACAAGCTGGTGGGAAGTAAGAATTGCTGGTAAAGAGGGCCAGGCTCTTCTGCTTAGAAGCTCTAATGGCTGAAGGAGGGTTGGATGGGGGTGAGGGGTAGCAGTGCTCCTGGGATACACAGACTACTGGGTGGAGCCACAGCTGGGAATGACGACCTGGTGCCTGTGTGCGAACAGTGGCCCCTCGTCAGTCAGTGCCCCCTGCCCCACGCGTACACAAGCCGCCCGCCTCACAGAAAGGCTCTTGCCTGGAATAGACCTTGCATCATGCAGTGGAGTTGGGGGTGGAGGAGCAGAGGGATGGGGAGCTGAGCTGACCCCAGCTTGAAGGGAGAAAATCCTGTGGAACTGACTCATAAGCAGCAGGCTGGGCGCTTAGGCCTCAGCAGATGTGCAGCTGGGAGTTTTAAGCAGGAGCCTCTTGTCCTTGATCCTGAATTAACTAGAGATACCGGGGCTGCTGAGATGGATCAGAATGACTCAAAGGGGACTTAGCAGGCAAGGTGACTGGGGATTAACCAAGTTGCGGGACAGAGAGCAGGGGTTTCAGAAAGGCAGCAAAAGACCCAAGCGGATGCTGAGCGAGCCCGGGAGACCGCGTGGCCGGCAGGGTTCTGACTCCAGGACTAGTCCCATTCTATTCCTACTCATTGTCTAATAGCCAGAAACCCTGTGGCTGGGAGGGAGCAGTGGATGGGCTTACCCTGGCAGGAAGGACAAGGGACTTGCTACAGTTGAATGCCGGCTCTGAACCAGCACCTCATTTGACCGTCACGTGAATGTCGGGGTGCAGGAGGCCCCTCGTGTGCTGGTGAATGTTTCACAGCCAACTCTGGGTGCAGCAGGAGCCTGATATGTAGTGCTTGGTGACCTCCGTGGTGGAAGTACTCCCAAGCTACCACGGTGATGTCATGAAACATGGAGTTGGTCAGAGCGTGGACAGTTGGGAGCAGACACGAGCTGGCTCTCTGCACATACAGTAGACCACTAAACCCTCCCCATTTTTACGGAGGAGGAAACAAAGTCCACAAGGGGAAAGAGGAGCTCCTGGAACTCCACATCCTCCTTGCTTTAAACTCCCTCCTGGTCAGGGAAGAAGCCTGCTTGCTCTTTGCATTTGTCCTCAGATGGGTGGGTATGGCTGGGACAGCGGCCATGGCTGGCCACACTGGCCGGCCTTCAGCAGGTGTCTCCTTCCAGGAACTGGCGACGCCAACCCCGCTGTGTCTGAAGATGCCTTATTCAGGGACAAGCTGAAACACATGGGAAAATGTGAGTCCCTCAGGCCCCGCTTCCCTCCGCAGCTTTTCTGAGACAGGCCCTGTGGCCTCCCAGGAGTAAGGGAGCCCTCTAGAATGTGTAATGCAGCTGACTCTTGGTGAACCAGTGACATTTTCATCACAGGCTGGCTCCCTCAGCCTTCCTACCTCACTTCCCTCTACAGCTGAGTCTAGAAACAAATTAAGTTTTAAATCCTCTTGAGCCAGATGTCTACAGAAAAATAACATGCCGCACATGCTCTCACCACAGTCCTCATGTTCACATTCTCTGTGACTTGAGGAGGCTTGGCTGGAGCTGACTGCACAGAGAGGCCCTTGCTAAGCCTCTGTGGGGGTGGAGGACCTCTTTCCACAAAGTCCTAGCAGCCTTGAATGCCCCCTTCCCTCCCCCTCACCTCCCCGCCACACAGACCCACAGCCATGTGTGAATGAGGCTGCGATCCTCTCAGGCTCCATTTCAGGGAAAATCTCGGATTAGTCATGGAAATCCCAGAACCAACTTTGGAGGTGGCTAGGGGAGGGGCGGGAAGGCGGTGGTGGTGGGAAAGTGAGCCAAGATGTGTTGCAGTGTGTTGCAGCTGGGGAGGGAATACTCGGATCTTGAGCCGCCTGCAGTCCCTGGACCTGGCTCAGGGTGTCCTGTGCTGCCCCTGCAGGCTGACCCAGGATGCAGCCTCTCACCCCTGGGGTGGTATCCTCAGGGATCTGTGATTCCTGTCACCTCTCCCTCCCAAGGGGTCTGGGTCCTCCCCTGGCCTTGCCCACACCTGGGAGGAGGCCATCTGGTGTGCTGGCTGGCAAGAGAATGATTCACAGGTCTCTCTGCCCCCAGCCACCCGGAGGAAGCTGTTTGAACTTGCCCGAGCCTTCTCAGAGAAGACCAAAATGAGGAAGTCAAAGAGGAAACACTTGTTGAAGCATCAGTCGTATCCTTTCCAGCCTGGCACTGGTGGGGGTGGTGGAAGCCAAGGGCTACGGAGCAAGACCCCTGCTGAACTCCCTGCAGCTGTGCCCTCCCCTGGGAGTGGGACGAGGCTCTGTGGCCTCCCCTTCCTCCTCCCCTTCCCTCCATGAGCTTGGCCACCAGCCCAGTGCCCATCTCTCATTGCCAACCAGGGACCAGACCTAGGGACTAGGGCAGCAGCTCCTATCTCCCTTCTGTAGGCCCAGAAGTTGTCCTATAACTTTTTTTAGTCTGAGGTCATGTACTTCTTGGGAGAAAAAGTGGTTCTTCCATCAAAATCAAACCTTCCCCTCATTTCTCTAGTTGAACTAGTGCACGAGTCCTCCTCACTCCAAGCATGTTGGCCCTGCCTTCCTCGAGTAGAAATACGGCTTTGCACATTTTTACCCGAACTCCTATTCATGCTTCTCAAACAGGGCCTAGCATAGCAGAGACTCACAGCCAGAGGGAAACAGGGAGGAAGCTTTTTCTCCATCCCCAGAGATGTAAGCGGGGTGAGAGTGTCAGGGCCTGGCCACACCACTGACCTCAGGAAAAGGAGCCCGGGGGACAGTACTAGGGGTGTGGGGGGTCAGGTGGGTGTCCGATACCTCAGAGCCTTGAGGGGTGGGGCAGAGAGTGGGTGCGACTGGGAGGACTAGGGCAGTGTCCTCTCATCCCTGGGACGGTTTTCCTGAATGGCCTGGCAGGCTGGGGGCTGCCGCGTCAACAGCCAACCTCCTGGATGATGTGGAGGGCCATGCGTGTGGTGAGGCTGGAGGGGAGTCGTAAGCTCCAACTTCTCTATGATTGGTGATCTCCCAGCGGAGTTCCTGGGTGTTTTCATGGGAGCACCCACCCTGTCCCTTGGAGGAGCACACTGCGGGTTGGTGGGCAGGTGACCCAAAGAAATGGATCCCCCCGACTTGGTCGACATCACCTCTCCCTTCCTGCAACCCCCGAAAGGGGACCCTCCCCTACTTCCATGTAGATGTGTACCTGTAGCATGAAGTGCCAGGTACTGTTTCTGGGGAATATTCTCTTGGGTGTGAAGTGGCAGACAGGCCTACCCCCTTGGGGGACCCTCGGCCTGAGAACCAAGCACTGGGCAGCTTCCGTCTGTGGGCCCAGAGGCTTCTCAACTTTCACCCAGTCCCTTCCAAAGGCCACGTGGGCCAGAAGACTGCCTCAGACCCTACTGGGCCCCCAGCTGATCCTTGATCCTCACGCCACATTCGAGGGTCAGGAGGCATCCAGAAACAAGGACCAGAAGGGCCTTGGAGGTCATCTAGATAGTCCAGCTTTTCCATCCGTTTTATAGATGAGGAAATTGAGGCTCAAAGACGAGGGGAGAACTTGTCCAAGGTCTCAGAGCTCAGTGGTGGACCCTGGCCAGCACCTGAGTGTCCTGCTGCCTCTCTCCCTGGACCCATGCATCATCCACCTGGGGGGATCTTCATGGGCCCCAAATGAAGGGGGCAGAGAGAGTTGGGTCAGCTGTCTTGGCCAGTCTGGGGGCTGTGCCTGAGCGAGGCCCTGCGGGGTAGAGGATGAGGCAGCTTCCCTCTCCTTTTCAGACGAAGACTTCCGGGGACGGCATCAGGAGGTGCCCAAGGTGGAGGAAGGCCTGCGAGAAGGACAGTAAGAGGTAAGGCCTGGAGCCATAGCTACCCAGGGACTGCCCAAGGCCAGGGCCCCCCACACTGTGCACCCCATGTGTCGTCCCAGGTGTCCAGAGGCGCTGGGTTCAGGCAACTGGGTAGTACAGGCCCCACGTGTCTTCCCTTATAGTTGCGGCAGGGACACGGGAATGGGAATTAGTCCATTGCATGTCTTTTTTGGTTATTTATTCATTTGACAAAAGATAAGCACACCTGCCTATGACAGATGTTGAGAACAGGAAAATAAAATCAGCTTTGACCTTGAAGAGTTTATAGTCCAGTTGAGAAGACAGTCCAGGACACACATAGCACACTGAGAGGACAATTTAAGAAAAACTGGCTGGGCACGGTGTCTCATGCCTGTAATCCCAGCACTTTGGGAGGCTGAGGTGGGTGGATCACCTGAGGTCAGGAGTTCGAGACCAGCCTGGCCAATATGGTGAAACCCTGTCTTTGCTAAAAAATACAAAAATTAGCCTGGCGTGGTGGCATGCACCTGTAATCCCAGCTACTTGGGAGGCTGAGGCAGGAGAATCACTTGAATGTGGGAGGCGGAGGTTTCAGTGAGCCCCGAGATCGCACCATTGCATGCCAGCCTGGGTGACAAGAGTGAAACTTCATCTCAAAACAACAACAACAACAAAAATGAAACAAAAGAAAAACTGCGGTGGTCTCAACCCGGCTATGCACACACAGAGCTCTTTCCAGCCCCCTGCTTGGGTTGGGTGGGCTGCGATCTGCCACACCAGGATGAGGAAACCCCTCCTGAGGCAGCGGTTTCTGGCTGAAGCCCCAGGCCTCCAAGCCACTTCTCCTCCTCTCTTCCTGTGCACCCTGTTGGGGAGAAAGAGAAAATGCCAAGGCCTCCTCCAGGACTTGGCCAGGACAGCTGTCCCTCTTCCAGCCCCCTTTCCCATGGGAGAGGGGAAGCTGCCCGGCCTTCCCCAGCCACTGGTCTGGTCCCAGTGGGCAGCATCTACAAGGCTTTCTTGAGTTGATGGCGTGGCAGGCATGGCCCTGTGGCAGACTGTGGAGAAATACTCGCCTGCCTCAGGATAGTCACAATGGAGAGAAACCAGGAACAAGTAAATACAAGTGTCCTCTCCCCTCTGCCTGGGCAGCTGGCCCCCACACCTGTTCCACCTGACTCCCTACCACATCTACCAGGCACTGCAGCCCCTTCCATTCCCCTCAGGCTTTCCTCAAGCACAGAGCCGCAGCCCACTTCCCACTGTCCTGGAATGCCCAGAGAGAGCCTGCCAGGGAAACGCCTCCACTGTCACCCCACGCTGCTACTGTCTCCACGTCCTTCTCCTTCCTACTGGTCCCCAGGGAAAACAGGTCCTGTCCAAACCATGCCTACATCAGAACCTTGCTCATCATTCATTCATTCATTCACTCATTCATTCATTCATTCATTCATTCATTCTGAGATGGAGTCTCCTTCTGTGGCCCTGGCCAGAGTGCAGTGGCGCAATCTTGGCTCACTGCAAGCTCTGCCTCCCGGGTTCACGCCATTCTCCTGCCTCAGCCTCCTGAGTAGCTGGGACTACAGGTGCCCGCCACCATGCCCAGCTAATATTTTGTATTTTTTTAGTAGAGACGGGGTTTCACCATGTTAGCCAGGATGGTCTTGGTCTCCTGACCTCCTGATCTGCCCACCTCGGCCTCCCAAAGTGCTGGGATTACAGGAGTGAGCCACCATGCCCGGTTATTTATTTATTTATTTATTTTGAGACAGAGTCTCACTCTGTTGCCCAGGCTGGAGTGCAGTGGTGCAGTCTCAGCTCATTGCAACCTCCGCCTCTCAGGTTCAAACAATTCTCCTGCCTCAGCCTCCCTCGTAACTGAGATTATAGGCACCCACTATCATGCCTGGCTAATTTGTTTTTGTATTTTTAGTAGAGAAGGATTTTCGCCATGTTGGCCAGGCTGGTTTCAAACATCTGACCCCAGGTGATCCGCCCACCTGTACCTCCCCAAGTGCTAGGATTACAGGTGTGAGCCACTGCACCCAGCCTCATCTATTTCTGTCCTAGGACTTCCAGCTTGTCCCTTTCCAGCTCGTTCCGCAAGTTGACATCCTCTTCCTCCTCCCCTTAAACACCAGGGGTCCTCAAGTCTCCCTTGCTATCCTCCTTCATCCTCTACAGGCTAACAGCCCCTCCCATCATCCAGATTGACTCGGAGGTTACCCAGCAGCTCAGGGCCTTAGCCTATTCTGCATTCTTCTGGTGCTCTTCTACACACCCTCCCCTGATCTTTCCCGAAACTGCCCTCCTTTGGCTCCTGTGACCCCACGAAGCCTGATTCTCCTTCCTCTGACTGGCTCTCCTTGTTGCTCTGCCCTTGACCCTCTTTGAAGTCTCCTCACTGCCCACTCTGGCAGTGCCTCCGCCCTCTTTTATAGCACCAGCAACACTTCTGTGCATCTGGCTCCTACATCTGAATCTCCATCACAGTTAGGCTTCCAGAGCTGCTTCGTGTCCCCAGCTGCACCCAAGATTTTCTTTTCAGCCTTGGGTGGCAACTCAGTCTCTCCTGCTGACTGCCCCCTTTCATTCTCTTTTCTGTTCCTTCTATTACCACCCTGATTGATGCTCATCACCTAGGTCACAGCCCTGCTCTCTTCACTGCCCCTAGCTACTCTGATTATCCCACCACCAAAACCCCACTTTAGTTCCATTTCTCCTATGCTCTTTGAATAAATCCTTTTTTTTCTATTTTTTTTTGGGGGGGAGGGATGGAGTCTTGCTATGTTGCCCAGGCTGGAGTGTAGTGACGCAATCTCTGCTCCCTGCAACCTCCCCCTCCGAAGTTCAAGCCATTCTCCTGCCTCAGCCTCCCAAGTAGCTGGGATTACAGGCATGCCCCACCACGCCTGGCTAATTTTTGTATTTTTAGTAGAGACGGGGTTTCACCATGCTGGTCAAGCTGGTCTTGAACCCCTGACCTCATGATCCGTCTGCCTTGGCCTCCCAACGTGCTGAGATTACAGACGTGAGCCACCGTGCCCAGCCTGAATGAGTCTTCTGAGTAAAGTCTTAGGATCTCTTCAGCTTGGTGTCTGAGGCCTACCAGGTTCTGCCCCCAGTTTACTTTTTTCCACCTACAGATCTCTGTGGCCTAGCTCTCTTGAGCTATGACATATTAGAATGGGCCAGGTACCCTCCCACCTTGAAGCCCTCCCCTATAGCTGCTTCCCCCCAGGATTCCATTCCTCTACTCCATCTCCTGCTGCCAGAGTCCCTGCAGCTCCGCAAGCTGGAATGGTTCTAGGAATTCGAATGGCGGGGATGACCCAGGCAGAGTTCTACGGTTGACCTCGAGTCCCTGGAGAAAGGGGAGGGCTTAGGTCTTTGGTAACTTCTCCCAAAACTGTCTCTCCAGGAACCAGTGACCAGGAAAGACCATTGGGCTCCTTTGAAAAAGACTCCTCCCATCCCCTTTTTCCCTCTGCCAGATGCCAGCAGCTCTTCCTTGCCAGAGATGATCTGAACCGGTGGGGGCAGCTGGAAAGCAACACTGGCTCCCAGCTGAAGGGCCCAGCTGCAGCCGGACAGATGGTGCTTGAGAACCGAGGCCCAGTGATCCTCCAGCCACAGTCCAGCCCAACCACTGCCACTTTCCATGGGACTTAGAACTTCCGAGTTGCTGCCTTGCAATTGGAGGAAGGACCTGGGGCCCCTAGAGGCAGCAGCCAATTACAGCTCCTTTTGTAGCCAGGCGTTCCTATGGTCAATGAGTGGAAATGCAGGAACCAACCTCCCTTGAAAAAAAAAAAAAAATCCAGAAAGCAGATAAAAATTGGAATATGGAAAAGGGCAAGATGACCCCACCAGAGGCTCTTTGGCCAGAAGGTGGAGTCCCTGCCTCCCTCCGTTCCCTATCTGTCCTGTCACAGACTCTGCCTGACCCCCTGTCCACTTCCTCAGCTCCCTCCAGGCACTCCCTTCCAGGGCCTCCCATATCTCAGCCTTCCCCCAGGGCTGCTGGCCCAGCACACAAGCCCTGCACCCAGCCTGAGTGGGAGGTCCCCGGCCAGTCCCGCAGGCACTCTGAGGCGCTATGGGCTGCTGCAGAGAGCATCTCTTGACTGCCCCATCTGGCCTCATCAGGCTGCTGCTGTTGGGGATGGGCTCACTCCCAGCAGCTCCCCATCACACAGCAGGGGTGGGGAGGGTGGCCACCCCAGGGTGGCAGGGTCTTTAATTCGGCAGCAGACAAAAGCCAGGTCTGGAGTCACACCACAGTGGAGGCTCACAGGGGCTCTGACTCCCCAGCTGGACTGGAAGCCCAGCTGTCCGAGGGTGGACAGCAGTGGGCCCTGGAGTGACCCCTTTGAGCAGGTAGCAGGGCTGAAGAGCAAGGCGGAAAGGCCGCCAGCCTGGGTGGGAGCGCCTAGGGCAGAAGGGCTTGCTGGGTGCCCCTGAGAAGGGCGGGTGATCTGAGGAGGAGAAGTCTGATTCTAGGAAGGCTTACAGGGCACTCACCACTGCCACGGGGAGGGAGGCTGCCCAGCCCGTGGCCCCGCCCTGGACATGGGAGCGCGCAGACCTTCTGGAGAGCCGGGAAGCCTGGGCAGGCACGAGGCTTCGGCGCGGCTTCGGGAGGTTGGGAGTGGGATCCGATCCTTGGCGCGGCCCTGGTGGCCTCAGTGACCCCAAGATCACAAGGGCGTAGCGAAGGCGAGCCGGCGATTGCACCTCGTCCCACCCACCCTGCCCGGACTCCCGACGCCGAGCTTCCCCTCTCTGGGGAGGGCCGGGACGCGCCGCCGCCGCCGAGCGTGACCAAGTTTGGAAACGCGCACGGCGCTGGGACGCTGGCTCAGGGGCCCTGCCGAGGAGCGGCTGCCCCCTCCACTGCGCCTCGCGCCAGGCCTGGGGTCCTGGAGGGAGGGGAAGGTCTCCGAGGAGTGCCTCGGGTCCCCAGCTCGAGTTCCCGACGGGTCTCTGAGCCTTCCCCGCGCCAGGACCGGGCGCGCTGCGGGGGAAGCCCCAGCCCCACGTCTGTGAGTGTTGCTTGTTATTTTTTTTCCTCCTATGTGTGGGTTTTTTCTTGGAGCTGTTTCATAGGAATTCCTGTAATAAAGAGTTGGTGTTCTCTTGGTGCTCTGATGTGGCCAGCGGCGTGGGCTGGATCCTCCTGCTCCCTCCTCCCTCCCCGCCTGGGGCAGGGTTTGTCCCCTGGAGCCCCGCATCGCATTCCTAGGGTACCCCTGCCTAGCCTCGCCCATTCACCCGCAGCGCTCTCCGACTGCACTCTCGAGGTGACACCTGCGGCACCGCTGCACCGCTGCACCGCATCCTTGCGGACCGGCCGTTTATGTCTAGCGCTGTCGCCTTCCTGTTTGGCCCAGGACAGTAAACCGCTTGCTGATAGGCAAGGGAAACACCCCTATGGGGAAAGCCAGTCTGTTGCGAAAGCTCCAGACGGCCACCTCCCTAAATAAACAGCTTCTGGATTAAAGGCAGACTGGAGGCTGCAGGGAAGTGCAATTGCAGACTTCAAAGGGAGCTCAGAGATTGCCCAGTTGATACATCTCTCCTTCCTCCTCCTCTCCAGCTCAGCTGGACTACCCCCCATCCTCCGCCACAGGGACAGGGCCGTCGCTGCCAGAAGAGGAAGCTGGTGCCGTTTCCAGACAGGGCAGTTCTCAAGGTCGAAGTTTTTCCTTGTGTTGAGCCAACGGCCTTCTAGGGCTTCCAACCACACGTCTTGCTCCTGGGCTCTGGGTCACCGTTGCCAAGGCTGCCTCTCTTGCCCCTGATGCCATGTTTCAGCTCAGTGACCTCACCCTCTCTCTTCCCTGACAACTCATCTGCTTCCTGCACTCCCTGCGGGGGCCTCCCCACCCATCAGGGTCTGGCCCTACCCCCAGTCAGACCCAGGGGGCTTGTAAAGTGGCACACCTGCGACAGGGTGATGCTCCACATGAGCTGTCCTGAGCAAACCAGGATTATCCTCTAGCCCTGGTTCTCTGCATCGTATTCATTGCCTGGGAAGCTGTTCCAAATGCCAATTCCGAGACCTACTTAGTCAGAAACTCTGGGGGTGCAGCCCAGCAACCTGTGATTCTGATGTGCACCACGGTTTGGGAATCATGGTACCAGGCCAGTACCTAGCACTGGCTGTACAGAATTACTTGAGTAGCTTTAAAAAAAATCCTGGGCAAGACTAGGCTCGGTGGCCACACTTATAAACCCAGCACTTTGACAGATTGAGGCAACAGGATCGCTTGAGCCCAGGAATTCAAGACCAACCCGGGCAACAAAGTGAGACCCACCCCCGCAAACCCCCACATCTCTACCAAAAAAAAAAAAAAAAAAAAAAATAGCTGGGTTGGTGGTACACACATGTAATCCCAGCTACACGGGAGGCTGAGGTGGGAGGATCGCTTGAGCCCAGGAGGTCGAGGCCGCAGTGAGCTGTGATCATGCCACTGTATTCCAGGCTGGGTGACAGAGCAAGACCCTGTCTCAATTAAAAAAAAATAGATCCTGGCCAGCCCCTGTGGTTCATGCCTGTAATCGCAGCACCTTGGGAGGCCAAAGTGGGAGGATTGTTTGAGGTCAGGAATTTGACGTTACAGTGAGCTATAATTGAGCCACCGTACTCCAGCCTGGGTGACAGAGCAAGACCTCATCTCTATTAAAGAAAAAAAAATCCTGATGTTCAGTACCCTAGACCAATTAAATCAACTATGGGTTTTTTTGTTTTTTGTTTTTTTAAAGCTCCCAAGGTAATTAAATTTGCCATCAAGTTTGAGGACCAGCCCACTTGGCAATCTGTTAGGTGTTTTATATTAGCCCATTTGATCTTGCCCAGTAACGATCACTTTACAGATAGTATAATTACAGTTCAGAGACATTAAGTAACTTATCCAAGATCACAGAGCTAGAATGTCATGAGGCCAGAAAAGGAGGCCGAGGGCTGCCTGACTCCAAAACTTGTGTTGCCTCCTCTGCACCCCTGCTGCTCAAAGTGTGCTCTGTGGACCAGCAGCATCGCCATCCCCTGGGAGCTTGTTAGGAATGCATATTATCAGGCCCCATTCCAGATCTGAATCTGAAACGGGCGTGCATTTTAACAAGCCCTTCAGATCATTCTGATACATGCTTAAGTTTAAGAACCACAGCTCCACAATCTGACTACTCACAGCTTGGTCTATGGACCAGCAACATTCTTTATTACCTGGGAGCTTATTAGAAACACAATCTCAGGCTCTGCCCCAGCCTTACTGGATCAGAATTTGCATTTTAACAAGCTCTTCGGGTGACTTCTATGCACATTGAAGCTAGAGAAACACTGCTGTAGAACACTGGTCCTCAAACTTGCTGTACATTAGAATCATTTCTGATGTGTGGGTCTCATTCCCAGAAATTCTGATTTAATTGGTTTGGGATTTAGCCTGAGAATCAGATTGTAAAATCCCAGGTGCTTCTAATATGCAGCAAGTTTGAGACCCTTACACCATTTTGCCTGTTAGTGTAGACGACACTGGAGATGACTATAATCAGAGAGAGAAAGAGAGGGAGAATGCTTACCAGGTCTACCAAGGAGTGCAAGAGATGAAGCCTCTGCTGGAGCCCCTGACTCCTGGTTAAAGATGGCTGTGGGTCCGGGGATAGGGACAGGCTGGACCAGATGACTGCCTTAGCCACCTACCCTCACGCTGCTTGCTCATCTGCAAGTGCTGAGCTCCTGGTATCCACAGGTGATACCTGCAGATTTATCCTCTGCAAAAATGCAGAGCTGGACTATCTGAAGTCTGGTCCAGCCAGGTCCCCTTCCCCATCTTGAGATGCTTTGATGTCCTCAGGGATCAACCCCAACTTGAAAGGCGATCATAGGTCTGGAAAATGCTGTGCCCACAAGAATTGGCCTGGTTATTACTAGGCTGGGGTCTCAACCCTCCCTCTGTTTTCTTGAAGCAACTGGTTGGAGATAGGGTCTGGGGGAAAAACAGGAGAATTTGCTGAATTTGCTCTGAAGAATGAAGGAGGCAGGCAAGGTATGGTGTGATGAAGATGGTAGCTCTTTATCGAGTGTTTATTGTGTGCCAGACACTCTCCTAGGGTACTTTACATGCATTATTTCACCGAATCCTTCACAACAATTATATGAAATCAGTATTACTACTTGTGTTTCGCACAGAGATGTTAAAGGCCTTGCTCAACATCTACCCTCAGTAACAGGTGGTAGAACCTGCATATGAACCCAGGCAGCTGAGCTCCCAAGATGATACCTAAACACTAAGCATGGTGGGGTCGGGTTGGGATGCAGGGGGATGGGGTTAAGATGCAGCACCCCTGCACAGATGCAATCTGTGGAGCACAGAAAGGGCCCACTTGCTCAAAAACGTCACCACAGTGATCCGTGATCCAACAGAGTGCCTGGAACGCCTCCATTAGCATTCTTTATCTAGTTTTAAAACCAATCTCTTAGCATTTCCATTAAATGGCAAATATGCTATTGAGAGAGAAGCACAGGAACTCCTTACACCCATTATCACAGCATAGATTAATTTGTTGGATTAATGGGCTGCACCGGCTGGAGGAAGAGTTGGAAATTTCTGGAGGTGGCCAGGTGGGAGAGGGCGGGCATGTGAAAGGGGCTGTGTGAATCGACTGCCACCTGGTGGTCATCTTGCAGAAGTGGCAGTCACTGGCCACTGAGACACCCAGAATGATTTTCCCAGAAGGAAGATGTGACCACCTGTTTGACCTTAGGCCAAAGAGACAGAGGGAAATGTACTCTGTTCACATGGTCATATGTTTTGTAAAATTTGCAAAACAAAGATATTTTCTTTTTCTTTTCTTCTCTTTTTTTTTTTCTTTTTGAGATGGAGTTTCGCTCTTATTGCCCAGGCTGGAGTGCAATGGCATGATCTCAGCTCACTGCAACCCCCGCCTTCCGGGTTCAAGCGATTCTCCTGCCTCAGCATCCTGAGTAGCTGGGATTACAGGCCCCCTGCCACCACGCCTGGCTAAATTTTTGTATTTGTAGTAGAGACGGGATTTAGCTATGTTGGCCAGGCTGGTCTCGAACTCCTGACCTCAGGTGATCCACTCACCTCGGCCTCCCAAAGTGCTGGGATTATAGGCCGTGAGCCACTGTGCCTGGCCAGATTTTTTCTTTTTCTTTTTTTTTTTTTTGAGACAGAGTCTCGCTCTGTCGCCCAGGCTGGAGTGCAGTGGCCGGATCTCAGCTCACTGCAAGCTCCGCCTCCCGGGTTTACGCCATTCTCCTGCCTCAGCCTCCCGAGTAGCTGGGACTACAGGCACCTGCCACCTCGCCCAGCTAGTTTTTTGTATTTTTTAGTAGAAACGGGGTTTCACCGTGTTAGCCAGGATGGTCTCGATCTCCTGACCTCGTGATCCGCCCGTCTCGGCCTCCCAAAGTGCTGGGATTACAGGCTTGAGCCACCGTGCCCGGCCAGATTTTTTCTTAAGAGAGCCACTAAGATTAGATAAGCTTCAGGCCCCACAAAACCAGCATCTACCCTGGAGAGCTGAGGCTTGGAGTCAGGTGTCCTTTCCAGAGAGTAAAGGGTCACAATTCTTTATCAGGACAAGAGGATTATTCCAGGGACTCCAGTAGGAGGAACTGTGAAGCTCAGTACAAACAGCACGTGCTTCTTTGCTCTGACCTTGCCATTCAAAATGTGGTGTGTGGATACAGCGACCAACTGTCCTAGTTTCCCTGGATGCAGAACTTTCAGTGCCGAAACTGGGAAAGTCGTGGGCATACTTGGGTGGGTTAGTTATCCCAACTGCAGATTTGCAGCATTGGCATCAACCTGGAAGGTTGCTAGAAATGCAGACCTAGACCTACTGAGTCACACTGCATTTTCCAAGATCTGCAGCAAATTCATGTGCATATTAAAGACTGAGTTGCTGTGACTTCCCCAGGAAGAGAAGGGCCCACATTGGCCCTGAAATGTATGCCTTCAAGGGGTTTGGTGGGCTGCAAAACCCCACAGAGTGATTCCAACTGGCTTTGAATTCCAACAATAAAAGGCCAGCTTCTTGCTCCAGGCCAAGCTGGCCCCTTTTCCCCTGGTCACAGTGACATAGGCCCCCCAGGGCGTAAAGTACTTATT